CTAAATACAATAGATAAATAAACACTATTTTTCTTTATAAAACAATATATATACACGATGCAATGCTCAATCAACCACCATGCATATGCATTCCTAGGTCCCACTAGTAGATAATACTTAACATTCAAAGTAGGATTTCCTAGCCTTACATAAAGTAGGGCCACCAACCACTACCTCAAACTAGCGTATCATATATAGGTGGTTATATGCCTCTTATGTGCTCACTAGTAGATTAAATCAATGCTTGGATTATCAAGACTTCCTAGCCTTACATAAAGTAGGGCCATAATCCCTTACCTTAGTCTAATGTACACTCGTGAATGCATTTTTAAGTCTCACTAGTGGATAAAATCAACGTTCTAGACCACCAAGACTTTCTAGTCTTATACCAAGTAGGGCCATAAACCCTTACCTCAATTTAAGGTACACTCATAAATGCAAATGCACATGTATTATCACAAAAATCCCATTCATCTCTATTAATCTCTACTCAAACATACATGCACCGCTTTTCACAAAAATGCTACTCTATCATTTTATAAAAGATGCACACATATTTTTCATAAAGAACCAGTAAATAATTTCTCAACTAACAGATAGTTAAAATCTAGTTCCCTCACACCCTTAATGCCAAGGATTATTGTTGCACTAATTCACCAAAAAGTATAGATTCCTATGAATACTCTTAAATGCTTAATCTATATAAATGAATATTCTTGATCAATTCCCAGTACTCAATACAAAGTACTAATTTGGCTAATCCATATTACCTAGCATATATAACAATCTCATTAGTACCCTTTAGGTTCACTTAACCCATTCACCCTAATTACATCCACCTTGGTCATCAAAATGACCAAAACATCCATTTGCTCACTTAATTAGCACTTTTTGCCCTTAATAACTTCATAATTTAAACCAATTTGAGCCTATGTCTCAAAGATTCAATTATTAAACCTTAAACCAATCATAAAATCTTAGTTTCACACCTAAGATCCCTTTTCCAACTCCTCACTCAAATTTTAACCCTTTAAAACTCTCTGATCTAATTTCTCTATAATCTAAAATTTAGAGAAATTAGGGTAAAAATATAGTACAAAGAGGTATGAAACTTACTGGATAAGTTACTGGTTGGAACTAACTCCCAATCTTCTATGGATCAATGCCCTAGCATAGCAGGCCTTCTTTCCCCCTCTCTCGTGTGTTTCTTTCCTTCTCTTCCCTTTGTTTCATGAGCTAACCATGTTAGGTTTTATCTAAATTCTATACCATGTGCCATGGTGCATGCACCACATGCCACAATGTGTGGCACAATGAGGCACTTCTCACTGTTGGCCACACAGTTCATCCCAAATCGATGTTCCATCACTTAATCCTATAACACACTAGCCAATCAATACCAAATACCAATCTATCATCTAAAACCATAATTAATCCCCTAATTACTAATGTATCCTTAATTAGCAATTAGTTTTTAGGGTTTATGTAATGCCTTTAATGACATTACCATACAATCCTTCAACTAATCTACTAATTCAACCAAAAACTAATTATTTAAAAAGTTTTGGGATCTTAGATAAAACATTTTCAAAATCATTTTATAAATTACTCAAACTATAAAACCCTATAAAGTGAAAGCATTATACAAAAGTTATCAAAGATCAAGAAAACATGTGCATTTTAATCAAATGAAGAAATTAAGCAAAGTTTTAATTACACATGAAGAAATTAAAATCAAGGGATAACCCTCATCATAAATCATTTTATATTGAAAAAAAGCATTGGACCTCTTTATATATGTAATCTTAATAACACCAAGGCAAATATGTACTCATAATTAGTCCACATAAGGTCTTCTGAGCATAACATCACTATATTAAATGGTATAGCTAGCCCAACATATAACATGGTTTTGGATTGGGCCAACTTATATCACTGTAGTGGAAGCCAGCTTTTTTCAAGATGGTACTTAGATTATTCCTCACCCCATCAAAGAGGTCTTTTGGAACTTTTTCAAGGATCAAGCCCCTAACCTCACCTACCTTAATGAAGTTGTGGCCAATCCTGGTACTATTGGGTCACTCGATGTTGGAAAGTGTGCCTTAGTGCCAATCATTATAATATGTACATTGTTATTTAATAAATTTCTCTTTTGTTATTATATTAATTGCATGTTCACTATGATAACTATATCCTTGGACAAACTATAGTGATTGTCCTAAATGTCATTGGTCGATCATCTATGAGAGATTATAAATGAAACAAGACTAGTATGACTTTGATTAATTATAGAGATACAAATCAAAGTCATAGACATTTGAAAGAGTACAAGGTGTTGGACCAACCTGCTATGAGAAAGTTGCATGGTACAAGTCATAAGCGTATCTCATATGTAACTATATCACTAAGCCCTTTAACCTAAGATCATCATGGGTTCCTACATGATGACCATTGAACTTTGACCTAGTCAAAAGTCATCTTTAACCAGGTGATCATAAAAGTTATGATTGATTTTAGTGATATTCATATAGAGAATATGAGTAGTCAAGATGAAATTTTTCCTCACATTAAGTGAGAGATATTTCTGGGCCCCTCGATGAGTAAGACTAAGAAAATATATGGCCATACTGTAATAGAAGGGGTTTTTCCATTGCTACTGTTAGTCTACTCAGAGATCGAGAAAGTAATAGTCAGGTAAAGGAGAATAACAATTCCATATCTCACACTTGACCAAAATATCGCGTGACAAAAAGATGTAATATGGTTGCATGATAGGTTACATCGGATCATCGATCTTCATGTGAATTAGGTAGTTACAATGTCTTGTTAGAAACCACTTGTGACTTGTGGGCTAATAGCATAATTAGCCTACTGTCAATTTCATATGAGACTATAGGATTGTACACAAGAACAGCCCAACTCGAGCTATAATATTCAAGTTTATTGAATTTGAAATATGTTTAGATTTAATGAATGTAATATATGGTAAATATATATATATTTGAATATTTATTTATATATATGTATTCATATGTGTGTGTGTATCCGATATATATATATGTATGTATGTATGTGTGTGTGTGTGTGTGTGTGTATGATATATAAAATTAAATATAATATATATATATATATATTTTTGAAATATATATGTGTGTGTATATATTTGTATATATATATATAATATAATATGCATATGTGATATATATTATACTATATTATATTATATTGTGTTAGTTTTAAATTTAATTTTATATGATAGATTAAATTTAATAACTAACATGATATAAGAAAATATCATGTCAGTTTTATAATTTAAATTTATAATTTAAATTAGATATGATATTATGGATTAAATTTATGAGATAAATTTAATTAAATTTTTGTGGGTTCTTTAAGTGGAAGACGAAAACCATAATGTATATACTATATATATATATGGACGTGCTTTATGAAAAGACAGAGAGAATTAGAAAAGTTCAAACGGCCAAATATTTTGAAAGCCATGAAACATTCTAGAGAAAAGAAAACTAACGTTCAAAGAAGAACAGACGTTGGGAGTGCTAGCACGCTATTCGAGTTAGAGAGCTATTCATGTGGATACTGGTAAAGGGAGCAAATCTACATTGTTAGCTCCTGAGATCCAAACCCTTGAAAAGAACACATGTCAAGTTTGAAGAATTAAAAGGTAACTCTTCTATCCATCTTGACTAAAACGAGTTCATTTGATTTATATCTGAATAGAAATTTTAAAATTTTAATTTTTTATTGAGCCTCCCTATCCAACACATGGATCATATAAATTAGACTTATTCCCAATGAGGTGTTTTTAATTGAATCATTTATATCAACAAAAAATTATTATTTAGTTGAAATCTCATTAAATCATAATAATTTTCAATTTTGTCCCTAATAATGTCAATTAATATTATGGTGGTATAGTGTGTAAAGCACACAATTAATATCTCTTCTCTTTTTTCAAGAAAATGATAAAATTATCTAAATATTCAAAAATATTATGACATTCCTCATATTTATGAACAAAATGAGGTGTTTTTAATCGAATCATTATACTAATAAAAATTTGTTATTTAGTTGAAATCTCATTAAATCATAATAATTTTTAATTTTTCCCCTAATAATGTCAATTAATATTATGGTGGTAGTGTGTAAAGCACACAAATAATATCTCTTCTCTTTTTTCAAGAAAATAATAAAATTATCTAAATACTCAAAAATATCATGACATCCCTTATGTTTATGGACAAAATAAGCTTACAAAAAATACTCTATATATAGAGACGGAGGGAGTATATATTGACTCACATTTGACTAGTAATAAATCTGGGTTTTAATAAAAAGAAAATATGATTTGTGCTAATAAAGTGAAGACGTTGTTCTGGGCAGAACAGACAACTAGACCTAAATAATGAATTAATGATACAACAAAACAACGATGCTTTGACTTGGACCAGCTTAACCCTAGTTATGGGAACCAACGTAACATGTTTTATAACAAAATACAGAGCATAGACTATGAATTAGTTTGACATCCAGATTATTCCTTCGCCGACCATAAAATACTTTTTCTTTTTCTTTTTCCTTTCCTTTTTATTACTATTAACAGATTAGCAATAGTGTAAGGTAGAATGGGATAAACCATGTACTATTAATTAGTATCTGCTATATATATGCCTCTCTATATCACCCACATCACATTGGTTTGAATTTTAAGTTGAATCTCCTGTATATTCAACTTTAAACCATTTTAAGTAAAAGAGATGAACCTGAGTCATTGTATACGCATCATTTAATGCTAACATTTAATTTGGATCATCTAGATTTTAACTTTTTTCCATAAATTAGATATTATACATTTTATCTTAATTAAAGTATGATGTAATTATAGTATCAATTTCATCACTATTTGTTTATAAAATATAATAATTTATCTTATTTTTTAACAAAATATTAACCATCCAAATCTCATCTATGTAGTCGTGATGAGACGTGCAGGGATCAAAGATGTCCAGCTGAAGAAGAAAATTCAAAATTATGTGGTTATATATGGGGTCCATTTTATATAATTATTTCTTTGACTCTATTCCAATATGCCATATATATGTATACTTACTAATGTGGTTATATATGGGTCCATTTAGATAATTATGTCTTTAACTCTATTCCAATATGCCATATATATGCTTACTCTAATTTTATTTATAAAATACTTTTAACCAAATTACATGAATTGAAAAATCTTGAGTTTTTTCAAAATTTTTTTTATAGAAATCTCAAATTAACCTTAATTAAAATTATGAATTAGATGTGTGAAAATTTTTGAAAAAACTCATTAATACTTCATCAAGTCCTATAAGGTATCTTTTATACAGGACCAAACATAACTTTTAAAAGGTTTTTTATATTAAAGACCGGAAATAATATAGGGGCAATTAATCATATGTATTCTCAAATTATTACCTTAAAAATCCCATGAGCGACGCGAGCAGCGATTTTAATTTACGCTTGAAAATCATGTGCTCAAAATCTCACTCCCTCTCTTTTCTCTATTTCTAGCGGATATGTTTTGGCCTTTGAGCCCTTTCTCTCTCTTCCCTCTTTCAGCACAGAGTTGGCTTCTCTCCATTTCTTTCTCTCTCCATTTTCTCTTCACTTCTCATTTGAATCATTGGATCTATTTTTGAATAGTTAAAATTTAATGTTTTATAAAATTATTATTATATTTATTTTTTATAAATTTTACATTTTAATAATAATTTTATAAAATATTAAATCTCAACCATTCAAAAATAGATTCAATGGTTTAGATAAAAAGTGAAGAGGAAATGGAGAAAAGCCAACTCCTTTCAGCACAGTCTCACTACGCACCACACTATAAATTTCACTCACTGGACAACATATACGTGCACAACTCTCTTATTTTCCAAATCATCATTTCTTGTGTTTGTGTGTGTGTCTCTCTCTCTCTCAAGCGTCGAATATGTTCTTCTTCTCCTTCTCCTTCTTTCTAGGTTTTTTCCTTCTCATCTCATTCATTTCTCATTATTCCCAGAAGACTAAGTCCAATTCTTCGTCTTCAAGCATCAGTCATGGCCCTCCTTCGTACCCAATCATTGGCTGTCTTATCTCTTTCTATCAAAATCGCCATCGTCTCTTAGACTGGTACACCCATCTCTTATCTGAATCTCCGACGCAAACTATCCTTGTCCGCCGCCTTGGTGCACGGAGGACGATAATCACGGCGAACCCTTCTAACGTAGAATTCATCCTCAAAACGAACTTCCACAATTTCCCCAAAGGTAAACCCTTCACTGAGATTCTCGGTGACCTACTTGGCTGTGGCATATTCAATGTTGACGGCGAGCTATGGTCGGAACAGCGAAAAATAGCGAGCCATGGCTTCAGCACGAGGTCACTCAAAGACTTCATTGTCAAAACTCTTGAAGAAGAAGTTCAGAAGAGGCTAATTCCTTTGTTCGAATCAGCTTCCATTACAAACCAAGTTGTGGATTTGCAAGATATTCTTAGAAGATTCACATTTGACAGTGTTTGTAAAGTCTCTTTGGGTACTGATCCTTGTTGCTTAGATCTCTCTCAGCCTGATCTTCCTCCACTGGTTCAGGCTTTCGATAACGCCTCTGCGATAAGCGCCAGGCGAGCAACCGCGCCGGTGTTTCTCATATGGAAGCTGAAGCGAGCATTGAATATTGGCTCTGAGAAGTCACTGAAACAAGCTGTTAAACTCGTGCACGAGTCGGTTCTCGAGATCATAAGGAACAAGAAGAAGAACATTAACACAGTACAAGACAATGAAGATTTGTTGACACGATTGTTGCTCGCCGGGTACGATGAAGTGTTAGTGAGAGATCTGGTGATAAGCTTTATAATGGCGGGAAGGGATACAACTTCGGCGGCGATGACGTGGCTGTTCTGGTTGATTTCAAAGCACCCGAACATCGAAGAAATGATAGAGAAGGAAATGGGAGAAGTGTTTGGATCAGTTGATGAAGAAGATGATGATGAGGTGAGATTGATGATGAAGCCATTTGATTATCAAGGTTTGAAGGAGATGAATTTTCTGAAGGCATGTTTATGCGAATCGATGAGGCTGTACCCGCCGGTGCCGTGGGACTCGAAGCATGCGGCGGCCGATGGCGTGTTGCCGGACGGGACCGCTGTGAAGAGAGGCGATAGGGTGACGTATTTCCCGTACGGAATGGGGAGGATGAAGGAGTTATGGGGGAAGGATTGGCAGGAGTTTAGACCGGACCGGTGGTTCGATGAACCGGTCGGTGATGACCACACCGGTTGGGTTGGGACAATGAAACAAGTGAGCCCATACAAGTTTCCGGTTTTTCAGGCGGGTCCTAGAGTGTGTCTTGGAAAAGAGATGGCATACATACAAATGAAGCATGTGGTAGCTTCAATAGTGAGCCGGTTCAGGATTAAACCGGTCTGCGAGAACCAGCCGGTTTTTGTCCCCCTGTTAACGGCGCATATGGCTGGTGGGTTCAAAGTGAGGATCTACAAGAAATCTTGAAAAATGATACATGGCCACATCTTCATGGACGGTGCAGCATGTATAATTATATATATATATATATACATATAGTGTATATGGACTGGGATTGCTAAGATGATAAGCCCAGGAATGTGACTAAAAAGAGTCGTATGATTTTGACGTTTTTGAATTTATTCAATAATTGTTATTGTATCTAGGTCAATTTGTCTTTTTTTTTTTTCCTGAATTGGTTTTTTTTTTGCCAACTTTTTTTCCGGTAGTTACCTTCTCTTTTTGGTATTAATTAGATTAAATTTGAGCATGATTGTCAACTGGAAATAGTTGTTTTAAAGTTATTTTACGCAATTACATGCACTTCTTGTGCTTAATTAGCTACGGGCGCTTTTCTAACTACGTAAGATTTTTTATCAATTTAAAATATAAATATTCTTAATTTTTAATGTAAATTTGAATTTTTCAGTCAAATTAAATTATTTAAAATTTTCTTAATTGAAAGAAAATAGTTATGAATATTAAGTTGAAACTATTTAACATTAATCAAACAACTAAAATTCATAATGACACTCATAAAATTGAGAGAATCCATAAACATCAAAACATGATTATATGAAGTAGTGATTACATTATAAGAAATCTATACATGAAGAAATTAAATACATATACAATTTACCACCGGGTCTGGTTTAAAAATGGAAATTCTATACTGAAATGTATAAATTCAATAATTTATGGACGGTGCGGCTTGTAGCCATATTTGGAATAATTAAATAAAAAGGAAAATTTGAATACTAAAAAAAAGAAAAAGAAAACAAAAGGAAATGTTTGTGATATGTATGATTACGACGTTTCCAGTTTTTCTTAATAATAATCGTTTTTTTTTTTTCTAACAATCATAGGTTACTCTACAATACAAAATCAAGTTTAGATCGAAGTCATCATTTTGGCTTGAATTTATACTTCTACGAGATTTAAACAATTATTAATTAAATTTTATTTATTAGGCGATATAACACTTGATCAATTTCAAATATAAATTATCGTAATTTGGAATATAAACATGATTTATTTTAAAAAAATAAAATGACACTCACATAAAATTAAGAGAGTCCATATACATAAAAATGTGATTACATTGAGAAATAATTATAGGAAATCTAAACATGAAGAAACACTGATAAAATTTATCATCATGTCTGTTTAGAAATAATATGTATGTATGTATGTATGTATGTGTTATTTGTTCAATTATTCAATTGAAACTTTTTATGTCTTTTTTTTTCTGCTGATAAATATCATTGGAGGCAATCCTATTGCTCACATGTTGTAAGAGATTAATTTTTTCTGCTAGACACGACCTTATACAATTTGTTTCATTAATTGCAATGAAATTAAAAAAAAATGTATACTCAATCCTGTATAATCTTTTTTCCTTTTTGATAAAAAGCAAGGATGTGTGTGAGTGTGTGCACGCGTTGTAACATGTACAATAAAAAGATCACATAGTAGCTAAGGAGAAAACAACAGATGAAAGTTAGTCAGCAAAGTCAGAATGTCTTCTAATGAAACTTGCTGGATAGGATTGGCTGGAAGAATTCTTTTTTCCTGAAGCTGATTAGATGCATTCTCAAACTAGGTAGAGCAAGATTAGGGCGTAAATTATTAACCCATCCTAAAGCAGCACGAAGGCAAAGGAGATAGAATAATATTGGTGTTCCTTCTCCCAAAACCAATCTAACAATTGATGGAGTTTCTCTTCTTGATTTTCTTAAAACCCATGATCCAGTCAAAATGATTTTCTTGAAAGAATTATAATTTTTTTTTTTTTTTGCATTTGATGAATGGATCGATGTATAAAGCATTTTTTAAAAAGATTCTTTAGTCATTAATACAATGTAGTTGATGAGATATCAATTATATTTTTTCAATTTTTCCCTTAAACTCAACAATGAGAGAGCAAATTTAAAATTTTTTAATTTAAATAGAAGTAAAATTGAAAGTTCATTTTATTTTTAAAAAAAGTTAATGACTTAATTAACTACTCCTTTTTGGTTCTAGTAAGGTAGTTACATATGCTTTATAATAAAGACCAGAGTGAGTATATTGACAAAATAAAAAGAAACGTGAAGTTTTAGTATAATTTAGTTTGGGCCTTGGCCTCTTTGCTTATAAAAAAAAAAAAGAAAAGAAAAGAAACATAGGTTAGAATGTTATAGTTCCTATACAAACTAAGGGGTGAGGATAAAAGAGAAGGTTAAAATTGTTTGAAACTTTAAAAACATATATAAGAATTAAAGTAAGAACTAAATCAATCATTGAATTAATCAATGCATCAATTTAAAGATTAAGATAAAAAACATAGTCAATCAACCATGATCAAATAGGTTATAAATAAAATATTTTATTAAATTAGTTAAAATAATAATTTAACGGTTTATTATTAGTTCAATTGAGTGGATTGACTTAAATTTTTATACCATGTTATAGGTGAATGTTTAAATATGCACATTGTTGTAGAGTAGGAACTCCTACAATATGGACACTCAGTCTTTTGAACTTCCTTAAATGTACATGTCCATGTTTAGGTATATATAGCATTGGATTGCTGGTAGGGAAGAAATGCTGCCCAATGTTCAGAGTCTTTTTGACACTTGCCGTCTTTTGAAGTTCCTTAAATGTACATATTCATGGACGGTGCAGTATATATATATATATATTTAGCACATGGACTGGGATGACTCATAAGATCATGATAAGCCTCTGAAAGTTGTTTGATTTTGACGTTTTTATATTATTGTTATTCAGAAAAAGTTGAATCTAAGTCAAATTGCTTTTTGTCTCCACTATAGTCGCCTTTTCTAACTCATGACATTAATTTAATAAATTTAAAGGAAAAATAAAATATGATTGGTTCTTATGATTTTATTATACTTTACTTTTGATTCTTTTAACTTTTATATTTTTTCATTGTTCCCTATCCTTATAATTTCTGCCGTCTGTAAAACGTTAGTCCTTCCAATATATCCTTAACGGTGCTAAATTTGCTATGGTGTAACTGTTAGATATGATGCGTCTTCTGCGTCTTGCGTCGTTTGTATGTTTTATTTTATTTACTTGTTGTAGTGTAGGAAAAAAAAAAAAATTGCTGAGTTATATGTGTCAACTTGACATAGATTCAACGCGTCAGTACTATATTTAATGATGTTAATTACACACCTCAACACATTTAACATTGTTAAGGACTTAAGAGACTAACGTTTTAGCAAGTAGAAACTGTTAGGACCAGCAATAAAAAAATAAAAAAAAATATATATATATATATATAGGAAGTAAAAGCAAGACATGATGAAATTATATAGATCACTAATCATTTTGTTTCCTCAAATTTAAAATATAAATTTTCTTAGATTACAAGTCATGGAAATAAGAAAGGACACAAGCAGAATACTTTGACAAAATTAAGATATGTCTAAGAATACGAAGTAAAATTATGGAAAAAACAAAGTCAAAGCAAGAAAGGACTAAATGTAAAAATTCTTGATTTTAATCAAGTGATACTTTAAGCTAATTATTGGGTACGGACGGTACGTGGATCAGGAACCTTAATTATGATAATTTGGTCCCAAACATATTCTTAAGGATTCAAATTGATATTTTTTAATTATGAAGGAAAATTACAAAATGAACAATTTCTTGAAATTATTTAATAACTAAAGATGGGAAAGGAAATTTTCCTACATGGCTGGCTTCATTTCGCATCCTCAATATAAGATTTAGCATTAAATAAAATAATGTTATATATTAATTGCAAATCATTTTTCTCATATAACAAAGAGAATGTGGATATAATCCAATTAATTAAACCTGCAAAAATGGCGCTTGAAGAAAATATAGATAAAGCTCCCGACCAAATTCATCTAGGTTACATGTACAGCCCTAATTGTCGTGAAATAAAAATTGTATACATGAAAGTGTTTGTTCCCTTTATTTAAAAATATAAAATATTTTTAACAGAATCTCACCTCCTAATAAAGTTCTTACCTATTTTCAAACTTACCTTATCTTTTTATATTTACTCTTATTAACTATTCTATAATAAATATAAAATCACCATCAATAGGGGCACCTTTAAAAAAAATAATTATACCTCGAAAGATTACAAATGCGTTACATTTTTTAACATTCAACTCCTTAAAAAATGCCTTATATTTTTAAACGGAGAGACTATTTAGTCCCTTTATTTGATTAAATGAAATGACTTATTTACATTTACAATGTTAAATAAAATAACTTTAATTTTAATTATTCAAGAAATATAACTCAATTCATATGAATTTAATACAAGCCATTTCTTTCGATAACAAAATTTATCCTCCTTATTTTACTTTATTTTAAATTCAAAATTTATATTATCAAAAAATATATATAATTTATTTAATAATTCTGGAGCAAACTACAATGACCTCCCCACTGTTACAAATATATCTATTCTATTTTTAAAACTTATATAAACCTCTCTGAGATTAATAATTATAAAACACATGAGATAACTTGATAATAAATTTTTAAATTATACTACTGCATATTAAATCAATTGGCTATGAAGTTGGTCTTTTTTAATTAAAGGTCTCAAGTTTAAGTTTTAAATTTATAATAGCAATTAAATTCTCATTGGGAAATTAATAAACTGTCAACTGGATTAGCCTATGTAAAAGACATAGGATACTCAAGCAAAAGCCAACAAATAAATAAATAAATTATAAAATAAAATAAAAATCATATGGATAATAACATAATTTTTTTCCAGATCCAAAAAAAAAAAAGAAAGAGAAATGTTTAGATACGTACGTATCATTACTGGATATGAAAAAAAAGGCCGGCATGGGACTCAGAATTCTGGAAATCTTAAAGTGACCTTGTCGACAAAATTCTCATTAAGTAGGTCTCAGATCGTGCGGTGTAGAGGGAATGAAGTGACATTTTCCAACACGTGCTGTCTACGATTTCGGCGTATGGGTCCCACCAACGCAGTCTTCATCACACATTCAGACCACACTTGGCTTCCTGTCAGGCTGTCACGCCCCAAATCACCATGCATGAGATTGAGCTGGCAACTCAACACAATCGTGAAATGCCATGCTGTTTTTCATTATAATAAGATTTCAATCATTTAAAATTAATTTTAATGATT